CAAAGGAAAGGGGAAAGAAATTATTCAAAGTAACTGCCTCAAAGTAACGTTTGAAGAACATGTGAGGGACTCAAAAGCCAGCTGAGAGCAAAAATGCCTTCCATTGCTGCTAAAAAAAAGGGGGGGGGTCAGAAGATTGTCAGCAAACACAGCACTGCTTCTGCACCACAAAACAGGAGACCGATCTACCACCTCTGCTATCGTGCTGGGCTTATTCTCCTTCCCTGCAATCAAGCTTCCCTCCCGCAACCGTGGGTGTTTGGTAGAACTGGAACTTCCTCTCGGGCTAAACCTCTTCAAACGGCCAGTTCGGGGTGGGAGGGGATAGGAAGAGGGTTGGGAACCAATCCAACAGCCTGGGGGCCTTTTAATTTTTCAAAATTAATTAATTTTTTTTGTGGCCAAGGGCCATGAGGGATACATTTTACGGAGTCCTCGGTGCTGAACTTGGTCGCTCACTTGCAGATGTTTCATTACCGACTAGGTAACATCATCAGGGTGAGTGAGGCCAGCACTCCCTCGCACTGATGGTGTTACCTAGTTGTGTAATGAAACATCCTAAGCCTGGGGCAGGCTTAGAATTAAAGTGCAAGGGTGCAATCAAGGTTGCATCCACACTGAAACCCTGCTTGCATGACACACATAACTGGGTCAAGAGGGAAGGGTCTAGTTTTAGCCGCAAACAGCTCCTGATTTAAACTAATGCGCACAGACCACAGATTTGTAATAAGCTGCCCTTCTCAGCTGTGGGACCCAAACTGGAAGAAAATGCAGCTTCTCTAGGCACGCTGTTTCCTTTTTCCTTTTCACTCATGCCCCCAAATCTCTGTGCAGTAGCACAGACCCCCCACTGCCATTTTTGGCCTCTAGCTCCAGTGGAACCCTCACCCCAAACCCCGAAATAGCAGCCTCTCAGTCTCCTTTGCAGTGGCTGGGGAGCGGCTCAGGACATGTCTCTTGTCCCCAAATGACCTGCAATTCTGCACTGCCAGCACATAAGGCTAAGTCAGACACCTGGGGAAAATAATGACCTGGTCAGGTGTGTTGCATAAACACGGATCTACTGCTGAGAAAACAACAACATGACAGAACAGAAAGGGGATGCACCTAGTCCTGAGGGTAATAAAATACTGAGCAAGATCTTACCTCCCCATGGACACTACGTAACGTGGTTCAGGCATCTGATCATAAACCTGCCAAGAAAGAAGGGTGAAGACTTGCACTTGATCTGAAGAACTTTGCATTCAAGAGTATGCCTGCTTTAGACCCTCGAGTGCTAGAAATCCAATAAGCTCGGAAAAGCTACAGAGCCTGGGTTCTGGAATTCCCTAACAGCAGCTCTGTCCTGGGTCAGGCTTAGAGTGGAGCAGGTGCCAACATTTTGAGCCACTATCCAGTTGTCCCTTTCAAAGGATCACTCGGGAAATTTATTCCAGATGTTTTTCTTTGCAGCCTCTAGCCAGATCGGTCCCATTCTGAACTTGATCTTTGCGGACAGACAGAGAGAGCCCTGAGCCCTTTTACATAATTCCTTTTGGATATTCCACGGGGTTGGGAAGAATAAAAATGCAGTGGAGAATCAGAAGCAGAGGTTCAGACTGATGAAACCTGATTCAGCTGGGCCTTTTGGT